ATTTCAATGAAAAGTAAATGTATGAATAAACACATAAAACAATATTTAAACAAAAGTCAACATTCAGAATATTTATGCAATTATGTAATCACCAGTAATGTAAAAACAATGACAACTAAAGAAAAAGTGAATTAATAAAAAACAAATAAATAATATAATGAATTAAGTAATGAATGAAAAGCTAACAAGTGCAAAGATATAATGTGACTGGAATTGTCAAAGTCAGCTAGTAACCATGAAAAAGTGTAAAGGTACATAGAAATGGTTTTTTACTAATTACTGAGACATACCCTATGAACTATAAATTCCACTCCTAGGTGGGAAGAGTGGAACAGAGAACCCATTCACCTGGATCTCTCACTTGGGAACTGTGCAAAAAATTACCTTTTTCTTTCCCTCAAATTTTATTGCTGCTTCCAAGAACACTACCCTCTATATTCACAGTAGCATTGTAGACTTGTAGCATGTGAGCCCCTCTACTGTTCAATTTTTTTTTTATTGTTCTTTTTCTCCCTACCCCCATATTATCTACCAATACTTATTTTGTATAGCAAATTCTACATACCCAGCAATCACTAGTCTTATATCTTACTATATCCATTTCCTACCTTGTGCATGAACACTTTGAGATCCCCTCCATCAAAACATCAATAGTCCAAAGTGATCAGAATGGGGGTAAAATTTGAAGAATATTAATGATCAGTTACACAACAAGAAAGCTATAAAAAGTGGGCTTCTTTTAAAGGTGAAAATAAAAAGAAAATCTATGAGTCTCAATAATTTGAATTATACTTGTGAGACACTTCTTTTGAGGAAGGGATATAAGGACATTGCTAATGAGTTTAAAGCTCAAACTTTTTTTTTATGAGACAAAGAATAAAAAAATAAATATATTAAAGTGATTGTGATATCATTTTCATAAAAATATATATACATATTTATTCACAAATTGCTTTAACCTTATAAACAGTTATAAGTGTCAATACATTTCTCTCTGGGCTCAGTCCTAGTATTGGAAGAAAACTTTGCCTTAAAATAACCCCATACAGAGGCATTTAATGCAATTAACAGGCCTCAAATAATAATAATAATTAAAAAATAATAATAATAATAATAAGAAGAAGAAGAAGAAGAAAAAGAAGAAGAAGTGAGGTGTGGAGGATTTCATGGTTGTGACGCATACCTGTAATATAAGTTACTTGAAAAGGCATCACAGGAGAATTTTATACACTGTCTGAAGACATATGTATATATTATGTTTAAAAAGTGTTTATGAATTCTGTAGTGAGGGTGCACAAATTCAATACATAGTCTTTTTTCTTGAATATTTTTTGTTGTAGATAGACACAGTATTATTAGTAGTTTGTTTGTTGGCTTTTTAAAAATATTTATTTTTAGTTTTTGGCAGACAGAACATCTTTGTTTGTATGTGGTGCTGAGGATCTAACCTGGGCCGCCCACATGCCAGGCGAGTGCATTACCCCTTGAGCTGTAAAGGTCTGGCAAAACGTCGGAGGGAGAGACCACCCAAGAGACTGACTCCATGAATTAGCAAAAGGGGATATTTATTGGGGATCCATTCCAGCGCACTGGGACTTTGCTCACTCAAGAAGGGAGAGCAGCCCAGAGCAGAGTTCAAGCGGAGCTTAAGTACACTTTTTGGAGAGGGTGGGGGGCTTTGCATACATCAGAACAAATCATCATGAGGAGCGGGAAAATTGAACAACAACTCTGAGACATGATTAGCACATTCATTGGCAGGAACAGGTCAGGCGGGGGTGATTGGTCACTTCTAAGCGGGGTACACATTTAAACTGATTGGTTTTGGAGCCTAGATGCTTACGTGCCATGCTACCTGGAGCCCTTAGCTATTAAACAACCAGAAAGTCAGTGGAAATATTTACTGGGCAGTTCCAGTATTGTCCTAACAGCTACAGGGATTACAGGTTTTGGGGGTAGCAGAGGGACTCTAACAATACCCAGTCTTTTACTTTTTAACCCAATCCCTGCACTTTGGAAACTTTAGGATGCCTGGTGTTTTACACTTTAACTCAGGCTCTTCGGCTTAGAATCAGCTTAGAAATTTTACCTTTACAGAGCCATGTCCCCTCTTGTGTGGCTTTTCAATGCAGTGCTGGGTGTTCAACCCAGTACCTACACATGCTAGGGAAGTTCTCTACCACTTAACCCTAGTCCCCAAAGTCCTTTACTTATTCTTTTTTTTTTTTTTTTCTGGGGAGGGGGTAGTGTGTGCGTGTAGTGCAGGGGATTGAATCCATGGCCTTATATCAGGAAAACAAGCACTCTACTGACTAAGCTATGTTCTCAGCCCTGATCTGTAGTCCTTTAACAATGACAATGGAGCAGCCTGTCATTCAGACTTTGATTGTGTGCCCACTTGGCTCAGGTTGGAGGCAGTGCCTGAAGCCTTGACCAATCAGTCACTTAGGTGAGAACTGTCCAATCCTCATGCAGCCAGTGATGAGGGGGAGGGCTTCCAAAATCTTCTGTTCCCTTGGTGTGTGGAACCCGACATTTTTTCAATCTTTTTGTAGGCTTCTGTCCTGGATCCAGAGCCCAGGTGTCTGCTATGCAGAAGCTGAAAACAAACCTCACTGAGAACGCTGAGAACCCTGAGAGCCAGGAAATGGTAAGTTTGCCTTGTTATATTGAGACTGCATAGGAAGGTGGCTTAAAGCTGACAGGAGTGGCAATGGTGGAAACTGGCAGTCATGGCTAGGGACTCCTCGTGGTCCTCTCCAGAGTCTTGTGGCCAGAGGCTCTCTCTGTGGTAGCTTAGCCTTCACCTCCCTCTGACTAGTCTAGTGAGGCTTAGATCATCAATTAAAAACCTGGGCATTTAGTTCCATAATTGTATGGTGTTTTCAGCTTCTTTCTAAAGCCCTTTGTGGGCTTCCATGTGCCCTGAGTCCAGCATGTCTCCACATTGCATGGTGAAGACTGAGATAATTACCAGGAGAGAACACCAAATCCATTTATTGTATTTATGCATGAGAGAGGCTGTTAATTTTAGGGCTTGTTACTCATGAGGGTTTGTTTTTTTGTTTATTATTATTATTATTATTATTATTATGTTTGTGTGTTGTTTTCTTTTCTTTTTTTTTTTTTTTCCCCCGTGGCTTCTTGACTAGTTTATTTTCCCCTGCAATACAATTCTCCTACCATGACATTTACCACAGTTCACAGCTTATTAAATTACCTGTCTACCCCCACCAGACTGTACACATTTTGTGACAGGGATCACATATATATTGTGAATCTCGCACAGCTTAAGATCATGTGGCATATTTTCCATAAGTATTTGTTGAATGAATAAATAGAGAAATTAGTGAAACTGTAATTGAAGATTCAAAAACCCATTGTTACCCACTCTGAGCTTTTGACTCATAACATTGTAAACAGTATATCCCTAGGTATGCAGTTTCCTGATTGCCAACTTATTCTATACAGTATCATTATTTTTATTGTTATATTCTTTTATAAAGAATGTTTCAACAAATATACTTTCTTTACAGAAAATAAAATCTTCTAGCATGTTATTATTTTATTTTGATCAGTTTAGCATGAGAACATCACAAGAAATATGTGTGTATTCTATATGTATATGTTTTTCTTAAGCTATGTGATAAGATAAAAGTTGAGGATGAAAAAAAGTCTTGACTATTTTAATCACCATAAATCATTGGAAAGGAAAACATCTTGCTAACTAGAGCTGGTTAGATACTAATCATAGGCTCATTGGTTTTAAAATATCAACTGGTGTGCTCTGTGCTAGGTGTGTTCTCATAAGACCAATAGGTTGTGGCCATATATATATAAATGCTTTTTCCTTTTACCTGAGTATTACACAAAAGATGTGAGGGAAATTACTGCAATCATTTGAATTTTTGAATTCCTTATTTGTATTATGTCTGAGGAAAAATAAAGTGAGCTGAGTTAAAAAATATTTTTCTATTAAATTATAATGCTGAGATTTTTATGTACTTGAAATTTGCTAATGGGAATTATATAACCTATTCATATTATCACATTTCCTTCTCTCCTCATTCCCCAACAATTTTAATCATATTTCCCTCTTTCTTCTTTCCCCAACAATTTTAGGGTGACATATGTTGACCAATTTTTTTTTCAGCGACACATTTTCATTTGTTGTTTTCTTTTTGGTACCAGAAATTCAATCCAGAGGTGTTCATCCACTGATTCACATTCCCACCCCTTTTTTAATATTTTTATTTAGAGACAGAGTCCCTTTGAATTTCTTAGGACCTCAGAAATTTGATGATGCTAGCTTTTAACTCATTCTCTTCATGAGTCCTGAGATTTTTAAATGTAGCAGAAGCAGTATCTCAAATCCAAAACAAAAATCTGAAATTTAGAACTTCAGTTTAGCTCTCCATAGGTCTCAGAATAAACCCCTAGTTTTCTAGCTCTCTGTTCACATATCCAAAACTAGGGTTCTCTGTTCACAGAGAATAAGTATAAAATAGAATAGATAGTATAATGACCATGTAATGTGGATAATGGGCCCCACTCAAACACACCTGGTGGCTAACTGAAAGATGTTAATGAGCCCCATTAAGGCCTATTTCAAATGTAAAAGACCTTGAAGCCAACTTGTGGGAACACCTTCCAGAAAGTCCTTTGTCCCAGGGAAGATTCCTTATTGAATTTGAAGAAAAAAGGATGGGTCACAGAAAAAATGAATGTGAACTCATAAGGTAGTCAGGATGCCTTTTCCAAAGCCTAGTCTAAATGCATTATACTTCCTGTTCTGCCCCAAACCATCAGAAAACTTCTAAGATGGCACAGAAAAATGAGTTTGATTTTTTTCTGGTATTATTCCTCATACTACACGCTGAGCATTCTATTTCTTCTTGCTTAAATCGATTATTTTTTCTTCAAAATTTATGAGACAAGAACCCAGATTCAACTTGTAAACTGAGAAATTTTGGTTCATCTCAAAACTCTACTTTCAGCATTATGTTAGACCAGGACTCAAGAAAAGACCACTGACTGCAATTAAAATCAAATTAAAGCAAGCTTATTATTTCGACCAGCCAGGCTACCTTGCCCCTCAAAATTCTGGGAGCCAAGGACAGCCCCGAGGCTTCTGTGTGGACCAGTTTTATAGCCCAAAAAGTTTCACAAAGGGGGGTTACAGATAACAACACTCTGAGGAGCATAACACAAGTTTACATTTTTGCTGGCCCCAGCATCTGAATTTATGGAGATCTTAGAGACTCAGAGAGGGTCATTATCTGGCCAGGGAAGGCCAGAATTTATGAGGTGTCACTAAGGTTTAGGAAAGGGTTGTTATCTGGTCAGGGAAAACCGGACATGGGTGAGTTCAGGGCAGTGGCAGGCATTCCAAGTAGGTTCAGAATTTGCAGTAATTTATAGTAAAGCCGAAATTATCTTTTCATGGTTTTATGGTGAGATGCCCAATTTTAAGAAAAGATCAGGTTGGGTCTATCAATTATTCATCATTTTCCCATGTTATATTTCAAATGTATGCATCATTTATAATGTTTTTCTTCAAGAACTGGAGGGCACTTTTAAAACATTTTAATTTATCATTCTGAGATTTTCACATGAGAAGAAAGCAGAATAAAATTAGGTGAAATTAAAAAGAATGAATCTCTCGTAAATGAGGTTTATTTTGTCCAGATTAAAGATTTTTAAAAACTTTAATGGGTCATCAATTGAGGGTTTATTTATTTATTAATTTTTTTAAAAAAATTTATTTATGATCAGACTACCTGGGGTTGTGGCTCAGTGATAGAGCACTCACCTAGACGTGCAAGGTCCTGGGTTTGATCCTTAGCACCACATAAAACTAATAAATAAAAAATAAATTAGCAACCCACAGAAACATTCCAAATATTTCAGGAAACTCTTTTATTCTGTTGTGGCATGAAAAAATAAAAGTGTGACTAACTTGAATTTAAATTACATCCAATCTCTCTCTCTCTCTCTCTCTCTCTCTCTCTCTCTCTCTCTCTCTCTGTACTGGGGATTGACCCCAGGGCCTCATGCTTAGAAGGAAAGCAGTCTACAAGCTGAGGTATTTACTCAGTCCCATTTTTTGGGGGGAGGAAGACCAGGGATTGAAGTCAGGGGCACTCTACCACTGAGCCATATCCCTACCCCTATTTTGTATTTTACTTAGAGACAGGGTTTCACTGAGTTGCTTAGTGCCTCACCATTGATGAGACTGGTTTTGAATTTATGATTCTTATGTCTCAGTCTTGTAAACAGCTGATAGTACAGGCATGCACCACTATGCCTTCAATCTTTTTTTTTTTTTTTAAAGATACAGTGTGTGTGTATGTGAGAGAGAGAGAGAGAGGGAGAGAGAGATATTTTTTTATTATTATTTATTTTTCAGTCTTTGGCGGACACAACATCTTTGTTTGTATGTGGTGCTGAGGATGGAACCCGGGCTGCCAGGCGAGCTTGCCACCGCTTGAGCCACATTCCCAGCCCCAACCAACTTCAATCTTAAGGGCTAAAGTACACGCAAATTAGATCAAAGTCCATGTCAATATGTTGGTACTCTATATATAAACTTGTTGATAAACCTTATATTCCAGTGTCTCACATGTGCCAGACAAGTGAGCTTCAGCCCCCTGGTACATTTTTTTTTATGGGGGATATTGGAGATTGAACTCACTAACACTTGACTACTAAGACAAATCTCCAGGATTTTTTTTTTTTTTCTTTATTTAGAGACAGGATCTCACTGAGTTTCTTAGAACCTCTCTTCTGCTAAGGCTGGCTTTGAAATTTTGATAATTCTTCTTCAGCCTCTTCAGCAACTGGGATTACAGACTTCAATCAACACACCCAGCCCCTGGTACATTTTTAATACCTGTTTTACGTAGATTTTAACCAGTAGCCTTAACTTTTTTTCTAATATATATTTGATTTGAATCCATAACCCAGAAATCAGTGAAACGGAATCTATTTTTTATGTGCAACACTGCTTTTGGTTATGTCAGTGTCTGAGTTAAGATTCCCCATTAAAGAATTTACTATGTGTTGTGTTCTCATTCTGTTTTTGGAGTATTTCTGAGTCTTGCCTTCTAGGGACCAGTTTGAAAAGTGTGTAGCTTCTGAGGGGATGGACTAATTGGATGCTTTGCAGCTGGAAGGCATTTTCTGATATACTTTCTATCTAAAAGTTACTTTATTTGTTTCCTTTTATTAGATACTGTGAATAAAGGTACAATAAAAATAGACATGTGGCAATATGTTTAGCAAAAGGATTCCAAATTTTTTACATATATACCCAGAATTATTATTACTGGATTGTATGGCATTTTTTTTTTTTTTTTTACCGAGAATTATTATTTGTATTTTTTAAATTTATTTAAATACTGGAGATCAACCCCAGGGCACTTTACCAGTGTGCTACATACCCAGTCTCTAACACTTTTATTTATTTACTTCTTTATTTTTGAGAGAGGGTTTTACTGAGTTTCGGAGGACCTTGCCAAGTTCTTGAGGCTGGTCTTTAACTTGAGAATAAATCCGTAGTTTTCTACCTCTTATTCTCCTAAACCACTGGGAGTACAGGCATGTATGATTTTGCACTGCTACCCCAAATTATTACTAGTGGATTTTGTG